GAATAAGCTAATTCTTTTTTTATTAGAAGGCGCAATACTAGGCGCTTCTATTGAATAATAGATTATGTAAGCGTATCTCTGCTAGTTAAGAAGCTATAAGCCAAAACGTAAAAATGCATACCCTACCCATCCGCCAGCCTATAACTAGGACAGCATAATAAGAGGTGACTTAACGCAGAGAAATGCCTAACATGCTAAGTAGGTGAATTCTTCTTCGTGATGCTCTACACTATGCTCTAGAAAGTAGCCCTAGCTAAGCAGGTACTATGCTAAGGCTTAGCTATAGTTACCTATAGAACACAAAAATCTTTTTAACCTTTGCTTGCGCAGCTTCAGCGTCTAGACTTATAACTGTTGCAGCTAAAATAGAGGCAAAATGTACATACATTTGCACCCCTAAATTGGCTAGTAAATAGGCATGATATCTGCTGCAACACACCCCCTCACGTCCAACTAGGACTGCATAATTAGAGGTGACACAATACAGCAGAATGCCTAATATACTAAGTAATAGATAAATCCTTCTTTGTAATGCTCTATTGCTGTAGATAGCACGCTAATAGAGCAGGTACTATGCTAAGACCCTTAGCTATAGTCACCTATAGAACACAAAAATCTATTTAACCTCTGCTTGCGCAGCTTTAGCATCTAGGCTTATAACTATTGCAGCTAAAATAGAGGCAAAATGTACAAACATTTGCACCCCTAAATTAGCTGGTAAATAGGCATGATATCTGCTGCGACAGTAATCTATGCTTAGTATTGCTGCATATGCAAGCAAGATTACGTAGGTGCATGCGTAATCGTATACGTTAGCATCTTACAGAGTAGGCTACTCTATTTGTAAGCAGAGGGTCTAGAACATTTCTAGTTACTAAAAATAGAGAACAGCATATCTTAAGAACAAGAGGAGATACAGGCTTTGTAAGCATACCATTCTAATCCTCTCTTTTAGGAGATTATGATGACAATGCTTAGGTAAGCAAAGCGCTATACCTAAGAAGGAAATATGCTAGAGAAATATTATAAGAACAAAGTCTTATAGCTTTACACCTCTACTAGGGGAAGCCCAACGGAACCCTAAGACGCCCACCAACGCTAATAATATAGAGGCTTAATCAACGCTGCTTCGCGATCGTATTTAAAAGCACTAAGGGTTATTACTAACTCTAATAGTAGAGATTGTTGATTAGCTGCAGAGAGGCACTGCAATGCTACTGCATAGGCAGACGTTATTGGCAGCCTAAGTGCTGCAGCTTAAAGCGTTAAACAAGGCTGCTTCTAAGTGCAAATTACACAAAAGAAAGTAGATTTAGAAGGGTAGAGACCTATTAAAGGAATAGGTAGAGGATTTAATAGCCTAATATAACGTTAGGGCGCAGGTAGAGGGGGAAACATGTAAGGGTAGGGCCTAAACAGGTGCAGGCAAGCAGGGCAAAAGGCACTGCAAGCACTGTAGTAAGACAGGGCACAACTCACGTATGTGTGAAAAAGATATAGTAAATATTAGCAATTAAGAATACGTACTGTTAGCTACAGTACAACGTTGTGGTGTTAAGTGATTGCGTGTAGAAGGCCCAATGGCTTGTTGAGGCGGTCCACTCGCTTAGCTGGCCCACTCGCTATACACTCACGTTATAATGAAATAACGTAATCGGCCATTGAGTCGGCCAGGCAATTGAGCCGGCCACCTTTGCCAAGATCACACCTCATTCCACCTCTCATCTAATGTCTCAACAACCTGATCTTAGATTACTTCCTTATAAGGATAGGATAATCCTTGCTATCTAAGCTATAAAATCTAACGCGTTAATAAGCTAACAGCGCGCTACTGCTATCTATAACATTCCTTAATCAACCCTCTAAGACTAACGCGCTAAAACTACCTCACAACGCAATTCCTACTAAAGCAGATTAAGGCTTACTAAGCCTAAAGAGGAGGTGGTTATACAATACATAAGGAAGCTTGACGCGCAAGGCTTTGCCCCTACGCTAAGCTACGTACGTGAAATGGCCAATTAACTGCTAGCTGCCTATAGTGGTAGTAAGGTTAGAGAAAAATAGGCTAGGCACCTTGTAAACTAGAAGCCTAAGATCAAGTCTTAGGTAACCAGACAGGGCGATCACTAGAGAGTCTTGTGCAGTGATCTAGCTATCATCAGCCCCTAGTTTAACCTTGTGCACAACGTTAAAGCTAAATATAGTATCTAGGACTAAGATACCTATAACTTTAACAAGACTAGCTTCTAGATAGGTGTTAGAGGGTCTGTTAATGTAGTAACAGTATCTAAGAGGTGTCTTAAGCCACTTAGAGTCTAGCCTAGCAACTGTGAATAGGCAACGTTAATTGCTGCAATTAATGCTAACGTACTCCACAAGCGAGCCGCTCACCCAAGCGAGCCGCTCACTTTTGCCAAGACCACACCCAACTTCACACAACTTACAACACTATAGTAGC